GCTCTTCCAGGAAAGGCGCCCGGTCGGTTTTTTTTTCTCAGTGCTTTATCACTCGTGGTCTGATTGTCCCTGTCGTAAGCGACGTCCCCGGGCATCTTCAGCCCTTCTCAAGGAATTCTCGTTTATTCCTGTGATAAAGGTTGTATTTCCAGAGAGAGCTGGGGGTATGGGCGCTGGCACGGGTAACTTCTGAGACTGCCGTTTTTAAGAGAGGTGTACTTTCTGCTGGTGCCTTCTGTTGGACGCACTCGTGGTCTCCTCTCTGAATGATTTGAGACGCCCATTTAGGTAAGTTTTTTCTCTGCCTGTGTTTAGTCTCCTAGAAATATTTGCTGAACTGAGCACAGAGAAAGTGTTTTCCAAGGAGCATTAGTGATTAAAAACTTGACATCGAGACTAGAATTATTGTTAAACGGAGACTTCCCTATCCGTCGTATTCAGTGATTTTTGTGAACCTCCCGGGAAAAGGTAAGTTTAGCTGCACAAGCCCGTGCGCTCCTACTCAATCAATTTGTAACCGGCGCCTGAAAAATAATTTCCAAAACTTATCTCTGACTTCCCGTCGCCTTTCACTTTTTTTTTATAAATTGCAGGCCGTTTTATGTAATTTGGGGAGCTTGCTGTTCCATTGAAGTATTGGAAATAATGTCTTTTTATTTTTTCGATGCTACCAATGAGTAGTTGTGCCTTTAAGAAGCGGTTGGACCGAGCCGAATACTGCCTTCGTTTCAACTTAGAAACAAGGATCCAGGGAGAATTGTTTAGAAGAAATATTTCTTTTGGAAAGCCTAGAACTGCAAGACTCTCTTCTTTCTGTTAATTGCTCAGAGGCTTTATCTTAGGAAATCATCCTTTCCCTGTGTCAGGAACTCGGACTCTGCAGCAAAATCCGACCAATCAAGTGCCTCGGCACACCATTTTCTTCCCCTTGTTTTTCTCACTTTCAGCCATTTTCTGTTACTTAACCTCGGCGGGGTAAAAGGGAGGGGGGAAGATATCGGGAACAGTACTTGAGGGATTAAGATATTCTATGTGATTTATTCCCCCACGCACCTTATTTGTTCATTGACACAGGATTTGTGTTTTTCGGAACAGATTTTTCTTTTTCTGTAGATGATTACTAGTGTGATTGCAGAAATCAGTCTTAGTAAAAGTAAACTCATTCCCTGTTACTGTCTGTGACATCGAGACATGTGTTTACCTAAACCTGTTTACATATGTTTATGATAAAATTATTAATAATCAAATCAAGTAAAATAGCTGGTTTTAATATTTCGTATAGTAGATAATTAATATCTTATATAAGCCTCGGGTCAGAATACTTACGTTTCAGCAGAATTTTGGGTCAAAAATGATGCTTTTTTTTGCATGTTCAAGAAATAAATCTTTTCTGAGGAGTGAGAACTGGAAACAGTTTTTATTGGTCTTAATCTCTACCATTTTTCTTCTAGTCTTTTGGAGACCTTGGACTGTTTTAATAACTATAGCTTTACTTGGACTCAGAATGAGGGTTGCATGTTTGAATCAAAAAATACTAGCATTCCATCAACTGAGAAGGAAATGGATGTGTAAGTTTTTTTTGCAGGAGGGGTGAGCTCATATGAATCCTAAATTATAATGCCCAAGTCTGAAGTAGTTTTGGGGTATAATACATCACGAAAGGACACTAATAATAACCTCATAGCTTGTCCTGGTGGACCAGGCTAGCAATTAGTAAAAATTTACTGTGTGGATTTTGAAGCCTGTGAC